CCGCCCCAGCATCGTCTCCGAACAGCACTGATTTTCCATCCTTCGAACAGTCAACATCCTTGACCGGGAATACACCCGTAGATCAGTCACTCACTCATCTTATACATACGCATCAGCGTAACTGTCTTCTTTACAAGTTGTTAGAATAAACGGTGATATGTAACTTACTATACAGTGTTACATTCATTTAACCACCTCTGTTATCTTAACCGAAACAGGGGAACGACTATTTCGTTGCGTTGATTAACCGAATCGTAGCGAGAATTTACGCCTCTCGCTGACGCGTTTTCCTAGCCACCGCGTCTCTCTAGACGGTTCAACAAGATGAGACAGTAAACGGAAACACAGTTCGATTGTTATGGCTGCGATGGTTGGACCGACATATACATATTTTACAAATTTTATTATATTATTATCCATATAAAATTTCGTAGTATAATAATCATTATTTTTAAGTATTAACACGTTGACTGCCACGACACCTGTATTCGGGTGTCAGCAAAGTTTCTGACCAGGCCGCGTAACCCATATTCGGGTGTCGCTTATTTGACTACTTGCGAAGAATCGTCGTAGGTATTTGAAAAGATATTCCATAATAATAAAACTGTTGAATTGTTATAAAATAGAAATACGAAAATGGTTTATTAAAAAATTATTTAGAATGTAAAACCTTAAAGCATTCTATACGTAGCTGAGGTTGGTCGGGACAATTTGGTCAATAAGTTGTTGTTTTCTTCAAATTCTTTTGTACCTTTGTTCGGTCCACTCGACGTCTTTTATTTGCATAACATAGATAGTTTGCATGCGCGTCTAATGCTTCTTCCGGAATCATTTTTCCGAACGGCGATATTATGCTGACTCCGTCGAAGACAAGGATTTTTTGTATTTTCAGACAACCTTAATAATTTTGCAACTAATAATTGTCTAAATATTCTAATATTTATATTTTTCCTTGTTGCAATTTTCTAAACCGTCAAAGCGTTTACAACAGAAATTGTCAGAAGGAATTGAATGCCAAGTTTTTTGTACCATTTGATTCCTTTACTAATTGTGATGGCATAAGAAACCATTTGGTCGGAATAATCTATACCACACTTTCCTTCATTATATTCAACGATAGATAGTGGTTTTAATGTTGCGAACAAATGAAACGAAAGATCATTCTTGAGATCACCACTTGAGCGACTCGTATTACTAAAACATCGATGGGGAGCACCTAGCAGAAAACGCTCGGTACTGCTGTACACGTGGCCTGACAGATTTCTTTGAAAACACGCGTGGCAGTCAACGCGTTAAAACCGTTATTAGATATTTATTTAATCAGTCTAAAATTTGTAGTACAATCATGAAAAGCTAACAATAGAATCACGTCTAGACTTTACAAGCATGCCGCAAAGTAACAGTGTCATTTGTATTTATACAGCATTAGTCTGTTGTCGTCAGATTCACAGTGTTGTGGAATCAGTTATCGTTGAGTCGTCTTTCGGATACGTGATACACATCGTATAGACATTTACTGAAACAATTCTTTTGCCTACCAAGCATTAATTGGTAATATCTGATGAGTGAAGAACATAATTTGATTATTAGAAGGTTGATTTCTGAAATTTCTATAAAGAACGATTAGTTTAGTGAGGTAAATATTTTACACGAATGTTTATAAAATGAAAAAATAGTCAACTACGTACTAGCTTTGTATGAATAATTTTAACCTAAAAATTTGTTCTGTGCTAAAATAGCGGTGGAAATTATACTACATGTAAAAGTGAGTCATAAAAACAAATACAATTTTCTTATTTTCTATCTTTTTTACTTTTATCGCAAGTTTGATTTCTATACATATAACTGTTTTCAATTTCAGGAGGAACTTATTTTCTTAAGGGCTTTTCATACAAATTTGAAAAATAACTGTTGTTTTTGATCCCTTATCTCTATCTTTATCCTTCTATTTTTGTGAGACTGTATCGGTTATTTATTCTTAATTTTTACAATCCGAAGTCTAATTTATGTGCCGTATTAATTTTCTGTGAATAATTTAGAGATATGTGAAATCTTGCTATATATATATACTGTTTGGTACCTATTAGAAGTGCGTTCGATCTAATGTGGAAAATTCTTAATTTTAATAAAATAGTTTCAAATTGCTAAGGCTGGGGCAAACTAAGAAGTTTCTGGAATATACAGGGTAGTAAGTCGCTTCGCAGATATGTATACATCGGGACAATATGTTACATATGTAATCCCTTACACAGTTTCATATTATCTTGTAAAATAATCATTCTTCTTTTAATATCAGTTGGTTTTTGTATTTTTATTTCATTTATCTCATAGGTTATAATTCCTTTAGGAAATTTTTGCAAAAATTTTCGCTGGAAATTTTCAGAAAACCTTATTCCTGAACAAAATTTGTTTTGTACTACAAACTGTCGCATTTAAATAAGAAAAATTCTATTTATTTAATTTTGTTATTAAGCTTATTCATATCTAACTTCAAATTATCTGTAGCTTGTTTATAATTAATTAAGTTTGAAATGTTTGTTTGTTAGTTATTACAAAAGGGTCATAGCTAAGTTTTTGAGTTGTGCTCAGGTTATTATAACTTCAGTTATTATGCTCTGAGCGTCATGTTGTTTCTTAATAAAATTCTTTAGTCTCAATAATCAATTTTCTCTGTTCATAAAGATGGTGGTTGTTTATTTTAAGA